TTGTTGATATGTTTTAGAAGACAAAAAATGCCATCTTTTGCACTATAGGTCAAGATGGAGACATGATGGACAACAAATTCTATTTTTTTTTTTTAAACTCAAATTTTTGGAAAAATATCCAAAACTTGGTCAAATTACTTTTTAGACTTGACATAATGAAAGAACACCAAATTTACAATAAAAAAGCACACAGATAAAATTTTTCTAAGTCGCACCGTTTTCGAGATATTGCAGTTTGAAAGTACCGTAAAACGGGGTAACTTTGATAGTTTTTTGAAGTATATCCTAAATATTTTTTACAGCAATGAATGTTTTTCAAACTTTAATTTTTTAAAACAAGTACTGGGGATCCTAGAGCCCGGAACAGAACCAACTTAACAGTAAATTTAAAATTTGTGATTCTTGTCGTATGCAGCTTTCTAAACGTTCCAAACTATCGAGTAGCGACGAGCTATCGAACTGCGATGAACAAGTTATCAACATGAATGTATCAAGTCAGGAATCTTTAGTAACTGTACCATCAATAACATCGGTAGAAGCAATCGACTCTAATGTTGGCAAATATTCGCAAAGCGTTAATATTGAACTTTTCAACAAATCTATATCTAGTATTTTGACATCACCAATTGATTTTAAAAAAATGATTTGTGTAAATTATGCTATGAAGAAATATCATGAAATAAATCAAAGAATTAGAAAGCACATATTTGCACTTAATGCAGAAGCAAACTTAGATGATAACAAAACTGACGATTTTAATAAAATTATTGAATAGCTAACAGAAAAGTTTTCGATAGAAGATACAACGGAAACTGAGAAATTTCAGCTCTTGAGGATATTACCTAGATTATGGACCATTCAGAAAATTATGGACACATTTAACACAACCAGATATATGGCAACAAAATCTAAACAACTTTTAAACGATAAAGTATGTCTCCAAGTCTACAGTCTCCGCGTACATCGTACGGGTTAGGCAAAAATGTGCGTCTATCTCTAAAAACTGTCGCATTAATGGCCCTTCGCTCATTTTCAACTTCTATTCAATTTTCATACTGCCGTACTCTAACGGAACTATCCACCTACCCCCTTCTAAAGATCATTCTCTAGCTAATAAATCATCACACTAAAGCTTCATGTTAGCATTTCCAACCAACTCTGAAAATCGTTAACTTCGCGTATGAAGTAACATAAAAATAATTTGAAGGTTGTTTTACAAGACGAAGTACAAAGTCATCACTGGAATAATCAGCAAGCAACTATTCATCCATTCATCATTTATTTTAAACATGAAGAAAAAAATAATCATTTGAGTTATGTAGTAATTTCAGAAGATTTGCGGCATTATTCTGTATCTGTAATCTTATTTATCTCAAAAATTATTGCTTTTTTACGTACAGAACAGCAGTTTACTGTGAATAAAATTTATATCATGTATGACGGAGCTGCATCGGGATTTTTTTTCTAGTCTTTTCCAGTTTGAGAATAAACATGGAATAGAAGTTGAATGGCATTCCTCCGCAACATCGCATGGAAAAGGTCTATGTGATGCTATAGGAGGAAACCTGAAACGTATAGCTACCAGAGCAAGTCTAGCTAAAAAACGTGAACATCCGATAAAAAATGTGATTGGGCTCAGAGGCGAAACGAGGATCAGCTGACTCAAATTTTCTTTTGTTATGCAACTACTGAAGAATGTGAAACTCATCAGCACGAGCTCAACAAACAATACCCAAGGGCTATAACCAATCAAGGACCTCAAAAATACCGCTCCTTTATTCCTATTTCTGAAAGACAAATAGAAGTCAGACATTTTTCAAACTGTAATAATGAAAAGAAAATTGTTGATTTTACTAAGATTTTACTATTATTTCTAACAATGTAAAAATAAATTAAATCATTCTCGACAAATCGCAATTATAAGATCTTTGCATATGCTAATGAGCGAAATATGTAGTTGCATGTATCGATGAGCCACCATTGTAAAATGTTCTGATCTTTCGGAAAAAAAACTATTTTCGGAACTGGAGAACGCTACATCTCGAAAACGATTAGACTTAGCAAAATTTTAGTCAGGTGCTTTTTTACTGTACATTTGATGTGCTTTTATTATAAATAGTTGAAACAGTAAATGGACCAAGTTTTGGATATTTTCGAAAAAACTTGAGTATTTTAAAAATCAGAACTTTTTTGTTCATCATTTCTCCATCTTGACCTATAGTGCAATAAATGGAATATTTTGTCCCTTAAAACACATCAACAAATAAAAAATACCAAAAATCCATTTTTGAAGAAAACTGTTTTTATGACTTTATTTTAAATTAAAAAAAAAAAAGTTCTTTGGAGTGTATTTTTTTTTTTCAAATAGTCTAATCTATTACCTGCAATATTACGCAAGACACCAAACCAATCGGACAAACTGTTTTCGAGTAAAAAATTTCTGTTATTTTTCTATATGCCCTTTTCAAAAATAAGGCTGGATTAAAAATGGCGATATTAAAAAGCAAAATAACATTGTCGGTCATATGGAACGTTTCCGCAAATTTTCATCCAAATAAAAAAAAAGCAAAATAAACTGATTTGCGAATTCCTAGGGCGCTGCTTAAATTCAACTAGAATTTAGAATCAAAAATAATATTCAAATTTTATTGATTAATTGATCTTTGTTGGCACCAATAAATGTGCAAAATACTGCGTTGCTCTCAATTTTTAGTATACACGTACATCGAATCGACAAGAAAAGTCATGCAAAATGCTAGCTTCTAGCCAGGGTTGCAAGATAATTTACATACAAAACCCTGTTGCCGATTTGTATTTTGTTTTCTCTGCTCACCTCTACCTAAGAGTATTTCTAGTTTTGTCTAACAAAATGCCCAGAACACACTTATTTCCTCTATAAACAACATTAATCTTGTTAGGGTGCCAGTTTTACCCCCACCACCCGTAATATTTTTTTTTTAGTATGCATTTATGCGTATCAGTTCAGTGTCTTCAATCAAGGTTTTTGCTCCTGATAATTTCATCCATTATGCATTAAATTTTTCACCTAGTTGGTGCCTGGAGACGCGACTGATTTAAGTTTTTCACACTGCGCTTCAAAAAATAATTTTAGGGTGAACGCTTCTACACTTGTGATACGTTAGAATCGTTAGGTTCCTATTATTGTAACGTACCGCATCTATAGAATCGTTTTCCGAAAACTGTTTTTGAATTTTATACAAAACGCTCCACTGGCACTGCTATGTGTTGTAAGCTGCACTTTGACTAACAACGTCAACACCGCACGAGATTGACTTGAACTTGATCGCTTTGTATGTATATGAAACGTCTTGGCATGGTTTGGGTGTTTTCTGTGTGGCTATTTTCATTTCACTGTACCTAACTTCAGGTCCCACAATTCCATTCTCAATCCCTTTGCCCTCGCCCACTAAATAATCTACCTGCCACATTTTGACTGAACGTAGCTAAAAATAGCTACGCATAATAAAACTCAACAAAAGTCCACTACTGCCTTGCCATACCACCTACCAAGAAAACGAACAAATTAGCAAAAAAAAATGTCACTCACCCCTGCTGGCCACACATCCTTTGTCGCAGCTGAGCCCAACTATTCGGAAGCCGCCGGAAAACTAAGCCCTTCCCTTCTAAAAGCTTTTGTAGTGTCGTCAACCATCCATCGTCGGCCCGCATTTTGCCAGATTTTCCTTGTGCCGTTCCCCTGGGACGTTCACATTCTTTGGCTGGCCAACCGAGACCGGGTAATCAATTTCGTGTTCGTGTGAGACGAATATAAAACAGGAACGGAAATCCAGCCAGGAGTAATTAAAATCATTAAAATTGACGGTGGATTTGCGGTGTTTTCGGGAGGGGACACATCAAGCAACAGACTTGGAATGTTTGGACTGCATTCAGTTGGGGGCATTTTTCGGCTTGTGGTATTATAAATTAGACGAATCATAATTCCATTCGAGCAAGTGATGGAATAATATAAAACTCATGAATGATTAAAGAAAGAACAAATGCGAAGTGATTCTAGACAGGGGCGTAATTGCTTTTGAAAACAAAGATGTCAATCGCCGATTTCTCAATCTCGCAAACAAACTATACCAAAAGATAGAGGAATTATTTCTCTACCTGATTGTGTTTTTAGTTTCCAACATTGGCAAGAAATCAGCGATTGACATCTTTGTTTACAAAAGAAATTACGCCCAAATATCAAGTCACTCCGGAAATACATCCAAAATATTGCTTTGGTGTTGGCAATGCTGGGCCCTGGGCCTTTATTACAACCCGAGTTTTATTTTCGGCTTCTTTTACCGCCCACGGTGTGTTTTACGGAATCGATTGTGAAAAGCAGGATATAACTGTGAGGATTAGAGGAAAACTCAGTCGGAGATTTTCGTTTTGCGAGGGCGACTGTGTACTTCAAGGATACGGAGCTTAAGTTCTGAGGAATGGAATTTCAATTATGTCGGATGTAATTGGGTGAGGCCGAGCGAATGAGGATTGTTGCGGTGAGATCGTTACCTCTGGCAAAACGGTTGTTTTGTATGGAGTTTTATGCGTGGTTGTATCAACGTTATACACAGGATTCAGTGGATTGAGGTTTTAAGGATTATAATTCGCTTCCAATGTACGTTTTTCGAATTACTAAAAATAGTATGATTTCATAATTTTATGTTGCTAAAAAAAGTAACATCGATCATTGTACAACCTTTGGTTTGAATAGGTCCCATTGCCTTTCCTTCATTTGACGTTTATAAGCTCAAAATTGCTATTACTATTACTGTTCATTGTTCGTACAACTGCGACCAAAAGTGCCACCTCATTCGAAATCCACTTTTACCTCCTTCAACAGTTCTAACTCAACTTAGATTACTTTTTCAGCTGTCTCACCTCGGCAAATAGGATAAAGTTTCACAAGAAGGTAATTCGAATTTATTTCCCATCATATTACAGCTCCCAAATCCCTTTCGCACCCACCCTCCATGGTTACTCACCGTGAATTGCAGTTTCGCCAGCATGCAAAACATCGTTCGCAGTCTTGCTGGCCGTTTCCTTCGCCGACTCCACGATGCCGCCGGGGCCACCACCATTGATTAGCGGCGAACTGCTTGCACAACCCATTTTTGCACTTGTTTCCGTGCTTCTCCTGCTTTGTTCGCTGGCTTGCTACCACGCTCGCAATACTAAACAAAAAACTCTTTGCCGCTAACAGAAAACCTCTTCACTCTTTTTGCAGCAAAAATTGAGCACTTTAAATTCACTTTCACTTCGCTCAAAACCACTGTTTTAATGACCCTAGATAAATCACCTGGTCCTGGTTCTTGAGGGAACTGAGATCTTCTAATTTAGCTGGATTATCGCAGCTAATTCAGTTGTGGTTCAATTCCGAGAAAAGCTGGTTCTGAAACGAAAAAAGAAAAATCGATCGTGAATTATTCATTTCCCACTTCGGAGCACTCTGGTCAATGGCCAGACCGCGAGGCGGGATCGATTAATTATTGCAACCACGTGCTACCTGTCGAATATGTTTTGATTGGCTCGAGTGGGAAAGTACTGAGCAAGAGATGTTATCACATGGGGTGAGTCATTAGAAACAGAAAGAAAAATCAGGTCAACGAGCCTAGGGTAGTCGGCGGCTAATGGTTTTGTTGCGCTTATTAGAAAAAAAAAACCGTATCGTGCAACGGAAATACGAATTCGTCATGAAAATCAAGCGATGATGACACGCCATCAAGAGCAAGTTCATTACTGTTGCCGGTTTTCTAGTGGGTGGCAGGCCACTGTGGGAAAATTAACGACTGTGAGTGGAAAATCCCAGAAACGTGTTGCAATTAGGTGCTGAATTAGCATGGCAGAATTATAAAGCAGCACATAATTGTTTGGATTGAAGTATACAAATTATACCTGTGTTGATGAATCGGTCCATTTACCGTCAAGTCAGATACCGATAAAGAACACATTTTTCATCCCCCGCAGACGCCATAGCGCAGAAGCCTTCGCTATTGGGTTTATGATTGATAAATAATTAAATTAATAATGATTTAGTCTTCGACTAAAATTGACTGATCCATTAAGTCCCCTCCCGTTAATTTTCTTTATCCGGGAATTTAATTATCTGTTAAAAGTTAAGAAAGCGAGAAGTTGAACAGCTCCCGAAAAGACTACGTGTCGCAATTCGATATATACAAAGTGTTCTAAAGGCTTAAGTCCATGCTAATTTCAAAAAATTAAATTTTAAAACATATGCGCCGCATCGCATATGGGGTCTAAGACCTCTCAAAAACTGTCTATTTAGTATGTGAACAGCCCCTAATGTTGAATTCCAAATAACAATTGTTTTGCAATTCAGGGAAACTGGGATGTATTGAGAAATAACCCACAATATGGGTTTGTTTGCAAACAGGGTGACGTGTAAGGATTGAAAGTCAATATCTGACGCCGTTTTGAAATCTATAAGGAAACAAAAAATTACCTAACATTTAGTTCTTTTCACTCATCTCCCATGTTCCGTTCAATAAGCTAATTTTCAATAAACCGCTTAGTTTACATTTGACTACGGCAAAAATAATTACTTACTCGTGAGTATTTTCTACCCAAAATTAAGTTCAATTGACTCAAATTTGAGAATTTCTCATATACTCACTAGTAGCTTATTGAACAATAGTCATGAGAAAGTCGAATCTCTCGTTCCGTTTTTGACAACAACAAAAAGTGAGAGTGGGATGCAAAACTCCAAATTACCCAAAATTAAGTAAAAAGAACTTAAATTTAGAGTATTTTTTCTCTCTGTGTATGATGCTGGTTTCAGGAAAAACTTATCTTTGTAGATGGAGAATCACAACTAACTTATGAAAAAGGGATATTGTCAGTAAAGAAATACAAATTTGTCGGCATAACTTTCATGCCATCTCGATTAAAATACACTCATATTGTGGGGTATTTGACTGTATTCCACATTCAATTAAAGTATTTTGATATTAAATACGTAAAGTTTCCGATTTTCAGAGTTGGGAGGAAATGCTATACTTATTCAACATGAAGCTTTAGGGCGATAATTTATAAGCTAGTGATATACCTCAAATCCCCTCACCATCAAAGTTTGAGTGAGGTAAAACAATGTGCGTCTTAAAGGCTGACTAAAAGTAAATGGGGACGTCTCTCGTGCACGGTTAGCACGCCTCATCTCAGATCGAAAGACCGGGGTTGGCTTTAACACACTTCAACACCTTGCTGAAGATCCCTGGTTCCAATTTTTTCGTAGGCCCGCCGATTCCTTTCCACAATCAGGGTTTCTTTGTAGGTTTTGAGCACTCGACAAACTGTTGTTTTCGGCCTCTTCAGCGCTTTAGCCAGCTTGGAACCGGACCACTCTGGATTTTCCAGGTGTTTGTGCACAATATTTTTTCTTCTTTTGAGTTCCATTTGACGTTATTTCTGAACGTGATCGACAACTGTGATCAAACTTGCACCAGTTGTTCTCTATGGCAGTGTTAACAAACCACTGTCAAAGATTTTCGATTCTTCACACTAGAGGCGAGCGAGAGGCGTATCGATTTAATTTTAGTGCTAATGAAAGCGGAAGTGATATGGACCTGCAATCAATTGTCGGTCGATCGATGACTAGTATAACAGCCACGATTTAAATAATTTATTTTCTGCTGATTTTTTTTAAATCATCTGGTCGGTTGAAACAGTTATAAGAATGGTCCTCACAGGCACCATTGAATAAAGATTCGCATGGATTATGGTTCAAATTTCTCGTCACTAGCTTAACAACATTTAGACCACTTAGGTTTCATTTGTTCGTCTTAATGTTTTGATTACGAAATTACGAAAAATTAACCATTTATTTGAGTAACCGCATAAGTCCCCTTGATAAAAATGCTGGAAAGTAGTAAGCGCCCAAACCGAGAACCTATGCGACTTCACTACAAGTTAATAGTTTTGGAATCTTTTTTTTTAAATGGTTTCTCTCAATAAATTTTTTCAGATATTTGTAGGAGAAGTGTATTAATTCAAAAGGATCTAAAATGATTTGAAAAAGGTCTTTAAATGTGTAAAATGCCGCTGCCAATGTGAAAAATTCTTGATTAGACTAATCAAAACATTTTCTTAGAATTCATATATGACATATATGCTAGCATATATGTATACATACAATCACAAATTCAAGCATTCTAGCGCCGTGACGTGAGACAAAGTATGCTCACCTTCAGCCGAGTCAATCGAAGAGTCATCATCAAAAATTCAGGTTGACATAAATATCCACATATTTTTCCAGTACACCAACTTTAAATGTTTCTTTCTTTTCAGGTCAAATTACAGGCACTCATGAATCATACAACAGAAAGAATCATTCAAATCATCGATGCGGAAATCGTCCAACAAATGAATATCAACGATGACACAGAGCTAGTGCTTTTAAGCAGCTGGGGTATGGATGGCTCAACAGGCTATTCACAATACAACCAAGCGCTATCAACGCCAAATCAAAAATATGACAGTGACGTCTTTTCAGTGACAACTACTCCTATACAACTTTATTATAAGAACAACAAGAAAAACATTTTGTGGCATAATTTAACACCCCAAAGCATTCGGTTCTGTAGGCCAATTATGCTGGAATTTATCAAAGAGTCAAAAGAGATGGTGCTTAACACCAAGAGATATATTGAAAATCAAATAAGTCAGCTTGTTCCAGTAAAAATCCAATTATCGTATGGTGAATATGTTTTGGTTGATTTTATTTTCGTTATGAGTATGATCGACGGCAAAGTTCTTAATTATGTAACTGATACTTCTTCCATGTCCAACTGTCCAATTTGTGGAGCTACTCCGAATGCAATGAGTGATATAGAGGTATTTTTTTTTTTTTTCAAATTTTAAGGGCCATTAAAATAACAATGTTTTTTTTTTATACTTTACAGAAGTTTGAAGCAGGATACGATTCGAACGAAGATGCTCTGCATTACGGCATATCTCCACTGCACGCTTGGATGCGATTTTTTGAGTGTTTATTACATATTTCCTATAGGATGGAAATTAAAACGTGGAAGATCACGAAGGATTTAAAGGCCAAATATCTTGAACGGAAAAAACTCGTTACTCAAAAAATGTACGAAGCGTTCGGAGTACGAGTTGATCAACCCAGGGCAGGTGGAGCTGGGACCAGTACAACAGGAAATGTGTGTCGAAAAGCATTTTCAACTCCTGAATTACTTTCCAAAGTTTTGGATATCGACGAAGAGCTTATTATTAGATTTCGTAATATTTTAATAGTAATCAATTGCCAAGACCCGATCAATCCTAAAAAAATGGATGACTATTGTAAGGAAACATATCGGCGGTATCTTAATTTGTATGATTGGTATAAAATTCCAGCAACAGTGCATAAAGTACTCGCTCACGCTGGAAGCATAATAATCCATTCACCTGCTCCTCTTGGCATGTTAGCTGAGGAAGCAGCAGAGTGCCAACATAAACTACTAAAAAAATGTCGTACCCATCATGCTAGGAAAAGGTCACGAGTTGATAATCTACATGACGTCTTTATTCGAGCTATGAACTCATCTGATCCTTTGATAAGTTCAATAAATCTAGGTAATAGAATCCGAAAGCAGGTATCACTTGAATATCCAGATGTTGTGAAATCACTTTTAGTATTCGAAGATCTTGACAGCTCTGAAAATATAAACACTGAAGGCAATGCACTAGATGCATTAATGGATGATGTTGAACAACTGGATGATGATTTTGGTCTTGATGAAAATGTAGAAAATGAGTAGAATTGCTTGTGAATTTAATTTATTTTTAAGAGAAAGTTATTAAATAAATTTTATTATGACAATTAGTCAAAGAAAATTATGTTTTATTTTGTAGTATATTCATCCCTGCAGTATAAAAAATGTAGTTCAACTTAGTTAACGATGTTGATATGTGTTCAGTAAAAATAATGGAAACATAGTAAAAAAAATAATCCTTTCGACTAGCTTTAATGATTTATTTCTCGCCTGGAGTATCATAACGGCATAACTGCATTGATCGATTTGTCTTCATCGATTTTCTCTTTTGTTAATAACTTGACCAAATCGAAGCCGATCGACGTGATTTTTTTACTGATGGAAAAGGATCATAACCTGTGCTGCAAAATTTCGACACTAAAAACTGATAATAACAAAACAACCCTGGTCACTCATTTCAGCAGAGAGTCACCATCAGTAGCAATCAATATCAATTGTC